TGTTTGTTTTTGTGTTTGTGTTTGTTTTTTCTTTTTGTGTTTGTTTTCGTGTTTGTTTTCGTGTTTGTTGTTTGTTTTCGTGTTTGTGTTTGTGTTTGTGTTTGTTTTTGTTTTTGTGTTTGTTTTCGTGTTTGTGTTTGTGTTTGTTTTTGTGTTTGTGTGTGAGAGACCTGCTGTCCACTGAGCAGCGCTGTGATGGGAGCCAGCAGGGCCTCCACTACGGAAGCCTGGTGGAGACATTCGGCGGCGCACTGGTCCCAGTCGCACAGCGTGCAGAGCACCTCCATCACCAGAGAGCTGGGAGACAGGGAGTCTGAGCACACAACACACAGCAGGGGTTTGTCTGGGTTAGGACTAGGTTTCTGTCCGTTAACAGCCATTACACAGATTGAAGACGTGAGCAGACTGGCTGACTTCGGTTTTTTATTCTTGTTTGTGTGTTTCTTCCTTGTGCCTGCTTACAGGTTCTCCCTCGGGTTCAACCCACAGTATTTTTTGCTGTTTGTTTTTGTTAGTTTGTGTCTCCTAGTAGTGTTTGTTTGCAGGTTCTCCCCCGGGGTTGCCCACGGTGACTACAGGACATCTTTCTACAGATACAGCAGCTGAATGGATAGTTTTGGGATTTCTCTTCTTTTCGGCGCGGGTTATTGTTTACCTTTTCTCTATTCTCTCATGCTTTTTAAATTTAATCTTTTATTCCTTTTTTCCTCTCTTTTTTTCTCTCTCTATTCCTGTCCCCCTTGGTCAGGTTTGGCATTAAACATCTTACTTCTGTAACAAAAATCAATCTTAAATAAATAATAAAGCAGTATTGGATGATCCAGGGAGGCTTCTCACCCTGACAGGCCTCCCTTGGCAAATCAAAAGTGTCGGGCAGAGCACGAAACTCAGATTACTGCTCTGTTGCCATAATGCTAAACACGACAAGGGGTCAAATAAATAAATAAATAAATAAATAAATAAATAAATATAATAATAATAATAATAATAATAATAATAATAATAATAATCATACAAATTGAATAATAATAATAATAATAATAAAAATAAAAAAAACAAGAGCATGTATGCAGACACGTTAGCCTACTCGTGTTTGTCAATGTTCTGTAAAATCTTCTTGTTGTGTTGTTGGCCTATTGAAGGTCTTTTGCACTTTACGAAGATACTGGCTGCTTTTTTAATCACTTTCAGGCTACATCTTAACATTTTAAGAGGTATTTTTCTATGTTTAGCCACTGATCTACAGTATGAACCATTCCTGCCAAAACATCTGAAGAAACTGTGCAGTTACAGCACACTATGAACCCTCACATACATAATATCGTATATCGAAGAGGAATATTTCCCAACAACAAAGAAAAATAACAATGTTAGTGACATTGAATGTGTCATGGATTATTGCCAGCAAAGCTTCTGCTCCCTGTTTGCTTTTTGAACACAATAAGATATTTCAGGACACAGCTGCTGTGGAAGCCAACTCAGTACAAGGTTTAGAGATAAAAGATATGGTCTGAGGCGTGTTTTTTATGCCTCATAGGGAGGATCAGCATGTTCCAGAAACCCGGGCGGTGAAACTCTGACGCGGTTTTCACCTGGAAGTAAGTAAGAGCCCCACCTGTGAGGGAGGGGTCACTGCCAGGAGGGTTGGGGTGTCGATACATGATGGTAATCAGGATGACCACCAGGTCCGTCAGATCGACCGGATCTGAAAAAGTGGTGTGATAAATTAAATAAGCAGCCTTAGATTTGCCTGTTTAAACATAGACAGTCACAGAAATATGCATTACTGAGTCAGGAACTGGCCCCGAGAAATCAAATCAAATCCAATCAAAATTGGAAAAGCAAACTTTCTAAATTAGCAGCGATTCTTATAAAATTCAAAGTAATATGTAATTTAGCGATTAACTTAACAAGCAAAAAAAATGATTAACTTAAGACTAACAGTGTAAAAGAGGTACTGTATAAGAAAATATAAAAGCAACAAATCCTTATCATTTCTACTTTTAAGTCTAAAATTCTACAGTAAAGCCTGTAATGTTGTCCTAAAAAATGTGTGAACTCTTCAAAAAACTTTACTATAGTTTACAATAATAAAAACTACTGGGAGTGAGAAATCATGACACATAGTGCTGATCTATACAGGGTGTGGACTGAATTACCAAATGTGTAAAACAGGTTAATCAGTTTTATTTGAGCGTCAGAAGACAGACAGTGAGTCTGTTTTAATGTCTGTCTGACTACCATTCACGATAATGTGTCTTTGTTAGTCACTAAAACGGGGTGGAGGGGAATAAAGTCCCATTAAGGTACACGAGGAGAGGAGGGAGGGATCCTCGTGTGCTGATCAGACACATTCCTGACGTTATGTAACATACAGACTGATTGTTGGAAAATCAGGAGATGGCAATAAAACATTTAGCTGAGATAAGCTTTTCACTCGTAGCTGATTAGTGAAACTTTCCACTCCACACCCCGGATAGATGCTGGTTTGGGAAAGGGTATCAAACCTCTGCGTTTCCTCATTTTGATGGGAAAGAGCTTTCTTCCATGGGTGTAGATGATTAATTTCCCAAGAATACACAAAGAGTGGACAAAGGAAGAATATTCAAGCTCCTTTCCGGAGTAAACGCTCCTCTGCAATGAACCTGAAACGTCAACGGAAAATCCAATTAATAGAGTCAAAAATTACAGGTTCCATCAATTTCACATTTTAAAAGGCAAATTATATTCAAATCATCAGTGTTTTTTGAAGAATATTTTTAAATGACCTGCAGTGAAATGATGGATATCATTTTTACTCCATTTTTCTAGTTGTTATAGACTGAGTTCCCAAACAAAAATAAACAGCATCATTGTACACAATTGTTGTTTTTCAGTCAAATAAAAAATAAAACCCTAACAGGGGACGGCAAATGAGTTGGAAACTATAGGCATTAATATTCTAGATTTTAATGCATCTTAAATTATATTTGGTTGCAAAACATAATTTCTACTAATTATTTTACATTAATAGCTGATAAGTCAAAGGACAAAGTTTCAACGGAGTTGATTGAAGATTAGGTGGCTACACTATTGTCACAATAGTTAGTCATTATATATTGTTTCAATATATAATGTGTTATTATTTATTATTAATACAACTCTCAGTTTTAGCAAACTTTACCAAATGCATTCAAAGCCAACGCTTAAAATCTGAAACTGTGGTACATATTCAACATTTCCAATCGTTTCCATGGCAACCTGTTGATTGTCATCTGTTGGTAGGGTCCGAGGAGCAGAATATCAACCGGCAGAAGTCAGAAAACTCTGCTTCTTTCACGGGGAGTTAAACCGGGGAAGAGGAGTCGGCTTTTTCGCCACTCATCCAAGACAGGGTCACAGTGTTCTGACTCCGGGAGGCAGCTGCTTTACGGGAGATAACACCCCGAAACGACCCCCCCCCCCCCGATATCTGCTCTAACTCTGCATCTGCACCGCGTGACTCCATAAGCAACACTTTCTGTCTATATTAAGATTGTAATTTAGATCAGGTTTAACTCATTTGTGCACGTAAAGAATCTGAGAGAGCAGAAAAATTTGGAAAATTCATTTTAAGAAGCATAAATTAACTGAAATCCCATCGCACAATCAAACTTTACTAATAAATAACTTTCAACAATGGAAATTAAGCTTTGTAGGCAAAATATGCAGGAAAGAGTAGAAATCCCTTTTAGGTTTTGAAGGGTTTTGATCCAATAAAGAAGACTGCACTTCCCTCTATCTCCACACTGTGACCCTGCTGCCTCTAACAGTCTGACTGACTTCTGTGTAGCTTATTGTTAGCTTTGATGCTAAATGTAATGTTGTATCTGCATTATAAGTTGGAGAAAAGGGCCTTAATGCATACAAATAGACATAAACAAAAACTAAAAAATGGACAAAACTGTTTGATGGAATCAGAATCAGAAATACTTAAATAATCCCAGAGGGAAATTATTTATTTGTTTATTTTTTAATAAAAATAAATATAAATATAAATATAAATATAAATATAAATATAATTATAATTATAAATATAAATATAAATATAAATATAAATATAAATATAAATATAAATATAAATAAATAATAATAATAATAAAAATAATTGACATACATTTATTTATTATTTTTTACAGTGAACTGTGAGTAAAAATAGTAACATACTCCAATAAAAAATATTTAAATATTCTTTGGTAATAAGTAAAGATATGAAAGAAATTATGAAATTACAGCCGGTTTTTCTTACCGGCGTCTCTCGTCTCCCCTGGATGAGGATCGGGGTTAGGCTCACTGCTAACACGTTCACAGGACTCACTATAACAGACACACTGCTGAAGAGCTGCTACGATCTGAATCGAAAAAGGGAGAAACACAAACAAACGGGTCACAGACAGAATTAAAAAGTTAAAAAATGTAAGGTCTCCATCAGCAGAGCAGGTCAAGTGTTTGGAACGTTTAAGGACTGATCCATCGGCCTTATGTGGAAACTTATTGGCATACAAATGAGTTCCAGATACTGTAGATATTATCTGTTTAAATGATTCAATTACATAAATTATATGATTGCTTACCAAAGATTTGTATTTTCTCTCCAGGAGCCTGAGAACCACCGTCCTGCTGTAGTAACCATGCTGAGGAGGAAGGAAACTCGAGTTTAAATTGAATTTAGAGTGATAAAGTGGATTTAAACTTTTATTATCAGCAAGGAAACAGTTGTAAGTGAAAATATATATTCTACAGTCTTGAGCAAAAGTTTAGCGTAATTTCCAAACATTTTTCAAAGACAATCCTCGCTCTCTTTCGCCAAATTTTCAGCTAATAGTTCTTTAAGAATCAGCTTTTTGCTGCAAAAATCCTCTTTTCTGTCTGTAAAACTGTGTTATGTTACGCTTTGTAATAAAAACTAAAGATAAAAGACAAAGTTGGTTCTTGGCCGAGGTCACATCTAGAGTTTCATGTCTGGAAATGATTCAAAGGTCAGTGTTAACTGGTAAAAAAATAAGATAAAAAACAACTCCAAAAATAAAAAATAATCTACAAGAACGTGGCTGAAAATGAGAGAAAAAGCAGCCAAAAAAAAGACTTTCAGAAACATTCAGAAGCCTGGAGAATTGTTGTATGCGGCCACTTTAAAAGATTACACGAGCGTTTTGGTTCTAGGAAGCAAAATCTATAAAAAACTAAAAACCTTTTCTAATCAGAGCATATTTGGCTGCTTTACGTACCGTCCACTTATTGAACCAGGTAGCTTTGATGTCCAGCAGGGCCAGTAAGTGGATCGGTTCGAGGATTTTCTCGGTTTCTGATGCGCTCTGTTCATGGTGGAAGCACAACAGGGAGAAGGTGCTCTCTATAACCTCCTCCATGTATCTGAAACAAAGCAGAGAGACGAAGGCATCAGAATGAACCTGATAGTTTATCCACCAAATGCAAACTTTTTTAAAGTGAGGGACATTTTAGAGGTACTTTTTCTGTTCTACACCAGATTTGATCTGATCTGATTCGGAGTTGTCTAACCCAGTGTTTTTCAACCACTGTGCCTCGGTACACTAGTGTGCCATAGAGAATCATCCTATTTCACCTCATTGATCTAAAAAGGTTTTTTGATAAGGAATTAATTATCTTCAAATAATATTCCATTTTTGAGGTGTCTGTGCTGTTCTAGTGACTGGTGACGTAATTCCTTATGACTAGATTTTGTATATAATTTTGTATATTGAAGTGGACATGTTAAGTGCAATTTGAAAGAAGAAATATAAAATATGATAAAAATACATTTTTGTGTTTATTTGATTCCTATTCAAGACACTTAAGATAAGATAACAATAAAATAAAAATAACTATAGTGTTACTATAGGCAGCTACAGATTTGTTTAACATTTTTGGATGGTGGTTTGCCTCGAGATTTTTTCAATGAAAAACTGTACCTTGGCTCAAAAAAGGTTGAAAAACAGAGGTACAGATTTGATCTGATCTGATTCGGAGCGGTCTGACTGATGTTGTGTGGTAAAAAGAGGAAAGAAGAAAACTGTCCTACTTCTCTGGATGGCGAATCCAGTAGGTGGTCACTTCCTTCTGGAAGTCGTTCATCAATCGAATCTGAAACGAAACAGAGCGTAAGGAGGAGGAGGAATGAGGAAACCTTCCTCTGAGTAGAGAGGCTTACTGAAGAAAAGGTGCGGTACCTGTTTAAGAAGACGGGTGACTTCAGGTCTGTGTGTGTCTATGGTGGCTGAGCCAATGGGGAAGCTCAGCCTGAGGGTCCGAAAACTTGACTCCACACTTTGAGCTGCTCAGGAAAAACACTCCTCTTACAAATCAGGCATCATTATCCCCAAAATGAACATTTTAGCTTAACGAAAAACTCAAAATGTCACCATTCTAAACTGCAACATCTTCATTATTTCTGGGGTGTTGCATGAATTCAAATGTATAGAAATCTAACCAAATAAACTACATCATAATCTTATGTATTTATTTATTTATAAATAAATGTATTTTATTTATTTATTTATTTATATATATATATATATATATAGTTCGCGTTCTCTTCCATAAGTTTATTTACATACATATATATAAATAAATATAAACATAAGTATATGGTGTAGTTTATTTGGTTAGATTTCTATACCTTTGAATTCATTCAATAATTCAATAAAAATATTTATATATATATATTTATATCTTGTGGGGAATTGTGTATATATATATATGTTTAGACATGTTTATATGTATATGCTGTTGTATTTCTGGAGTTAGTCACAAAAATAATTTCCCTCTGGGATTATTAAAGTATTTCTGATTCTGATTCTGTTCTGCTCATAACCTAGTTAAGACTATAAAGATGTATATATAAAAACTATTGTGTTTTTTTTTAGGGGCCTACCCAAGCTGGTGTAGATCTCCCGTGTCACGTTCAGAGGAGAAGAGGAGAAGCTTTTAGCAAAGAACTGCAGCACATTCTCCTGAGAGAGGAGAGAGGAAGGGACACGAAAGCTCATTACCTCGTTATTACACACACCTACCAGGATCATAAAGTAGATGAGGCAGGCGTGAGGCGACTATAAGTGGAGTAGAACTGTAGGCACAGTGTTTTACATCTGTCTTAATCTTATGTGGATGGATTAAATTCCCTGTGTCTCACGTTGAGGTGGGGCTCGTTCAGGGCTGCACACAGGTTCCTCCTCAGGGTGCTCCAGCTCTCACAGCTCAGGACGTCCGACGGGGGGGCCCCACAGAGAACCCGGAGGGCATCCCTACGCACCTACAAGCAGACATAAACCCCCACTTTTGGTTCTGCTCGAGGTTTCTGCCTGTTAAAAGGAAGTTTTTCCTTGCCTGTGTCGCCTAGTGCTTGCTCATGGTGGGAATTGTTGGGTTTCTGGAATTATCTTCAGAGTAGGGTCTGACCTGCTCTGTTTGGAAAGCGCTGTGAGACAACTGTTGTTGTGATGTTTCGCTATATAAATGAAATTTAATTTAATTTAATTCATTTTAATTTTGTAATGTCATTGTCTGAACGTGTGTTTGGACTGATTTTGTATTTTGTGATTTTGTGTTGTTTGATCTTCCTACCTCAGGACGACAGATGTAAACTAGCAACTATGCTAGAATCTGGCTCATTTACAATCTGTATGAGATTGTTCATTAATGTGCACTGTCCTGATTAAATAAATAAATAAAAAATAAAACAAAAAAACAGCGCTTTGCTAGTAGGGCTGCTCAGCCTTGTTTCCAGATGCAAAAGCAGTCGATTTCGGTTGCTAACAGCTAAAGGCTTAGATACACTATCAGCATCCCAAACAAACAGACAGTTTTGGGTTTTTTTTTTCTAAACTTAGCAGCTAAAAGCATCACTTTTGTGCAAGCTGACTGGCTGGGGACCCCTGATCTGTAGCACACATTCTCCAGACTGAAAAAAAGACGTTAACTCCAGTGAATCTGGATGTGGAGGCGTGTCCTCGTACCTCTTTGGGCTTGTTAGAGTCAAGTTTTTCTGCCAGAACCTGCAGCTGCTCTTGTCTGATGAAAGCATAACTCTGTGAAAGAGAGAATAAAACTTCAAACAAAGTCAGTAACGAGGCAGTCTACACCAAACTATTTCACAGTTTCCATCTATGTCATCCAAACAAATCCATCCATCCATCCATTATCAATACCACTTATTCCCTCATGGGGTCGCGGGGGGAACTGGAGCCTATCCCAGTGGTCAACGGGCGAGAGGCGGGGTACACCCTGGACAGTCCCCAGTCCATCGCAGGGCCACACAGAGACACACAAGGACCAACAACCACTCACACTCACATTCACTCCTAAGGGCAATTTCCCCAATTTCCCCAATCTCCAATCAGCCTAACATGCAGGTTTTTGGACGGTGGGAGGAAGCCGGAGAACCCGGAGAGAACCCACAGACACAGGAGAACATGCAGACTCCACCCAGAAAGGTCCTGGTTCCCCCGGGATTCGAACCCAGAACCCTCTTGCTGGGAGGCGACACCACACCACCGTGCCGCCCATCCAAACAAATATTAAAGAGAAATAATGATGATTCATAGGACCTGATTGAAGGAGGAGTCGCTGTCAGAGCAGTTGTCGGTGAACTGACTGTTGGACTGGCCGTATTCCCTCTCTCTGTTCATCTCCTTCCTCTGCTGGTCCTCCTCAAATTTGTTGATTAAAGACTCTACAACCACAGTCATGCTGTTCTTTAAGCTCTCCATCATCTGCCGATACCTGGTGAGAAGACATCGGGTTAAATGATCTAAACACACTGAAAAAGGGTGGTAGGCTTTGATTCGATTAGTTTAAAATGATAACTGTTTTGTTTTAATTTCCCAAAGTTTAAGTAGTGAAACTAGAATTTTTATTGTTAT